TTTGATGCCGCTTATCCATGGTTGGTACTGCCATCTACCTTGCCAGACAAACTAGGAATACAGGGGTATCCATGAGACCCTATCTTCTCGCTCACTGCCCCATAACCCTGCCATTTCCTATTGTGAAAACCAGTTTACACCTAAATGTATTTTGAATGAGTGACGGAGTGATCCTAGTGCCTGTTGATCTGAACCGTCACTACTGGACCCAGGTGGTTTGCCCATATGTGGTTTTATCACCACTTCCCAGGCCTCCCCAGACCTTACACTAGCACTCCAGATTCACCTGTAGCTACCTCATGCCCCATCAGTTCTAGGCTGGTTCTTACCCCCTTCTTCTTCCAAGACATTCTTTCTGTCTCACGTGGCGCCCTTCCCAGAATTCTTTTTGTTCTTACTCATGTATCCAAGCACAGACAGTATCTCATCTGCAAACATCTATTAAGTGTGTTCCCTTAGTCATACAGACTATTAGAGAGTCACCTAGAAAGGGTGTCAGTCTTGACTTGGGGGGATCAGAGAAACTTTACAATCGGAAATGTGAATGAAGGGTCTAAGAAATGCATCTCAGAAGAGGAGGAATGGGCTAGAAGAAGAGGCATCAGGGGAATGGTGTTTGAAGCCTTGTGAACATATTTAGATGTCAGAGGTAGTACCCTTACTTGTAAAATGAACTGGAAAAGAAAACTCCCAAGGCCAGAGTTAGAGCAAAGCAAGAAGCAAACAGGGGGATGGGGAAACAAACAGGTGATGCCGAGCCCCAGAATCTCTTTAAAGAATGTGGGATTTAGGTTAAGGACAACTAGGACAATAATGAAGGCTCACTGAAGTTCGAAGTTGGTCAAATTCTGTATCCTGAAAGAGTGCACATCTTTCCCTATTGTTTCCCATTCATTTATGGGTCTGTTTTGGCCCTGCACACTGTGTGCTTACATGGCAAGAACATTCCTTCCTGACCTCTGCTTCCTATTATCTAAGTCCTGCCCCAGAAAAAAAGACTTTGTGAAGTATATTGAGGTGGATTTCTAAGGCTGTAGATTAGGTTCTGTCCTAATGCACCTCTTAGGTGGTCCCACAGGACTTTCCCCACTCAGGACCTGCATAGAGGCATACTTATATGGTCCACAGGCTCCTAGGAGACACTGAGGACCCCCTAGAGATGCAGACACCTCTGAAGACAGTCCCAGGACACCTGATCTGGGTGGCTCTTGTGGTAGCCAGGAGTTACTAGGGATCTTCAAGGGAGCAGAGTCAATCAAGACCGAGAAAGGGGAAGCTCACAGTGCTCGCGGACAGGATTTGATCCCCAGAGACATAGATGGCTCTCCTTGTGCCTAAGGAGACTTTTGGGGGTCTGTGTAACCTGTCTCTCCATCTTCTCTTTGCAACTTTCTTCTCTGGCCAAATCTTCAGTGCCCAGAATGGGACTGGGCAGAACAGGTTCTCAAAAACTACTGATTTAATAATTTAATCAACATAATTATAATTTGATAGTGGTTATTAATCATTGCAAGCAGTGGTTTTCGACCAGTGAGTCGAGACCTCCACAGGGATCGCATATCAGATATTTACATTACAATGCATAACAGTAGCAAAATTACAGTTATGAAGTAGCAAAGAAATAATTTTATAGTTGAGGGTCACTACAGCATGAGGAACTGTATTAAAGGGTCGCAGCATTAGATAGGTTGAGAATGAACCATTGGATTATAACTATTATGGCCCTAACAAGTTAGATCTTTCTCCCAAGGTCACATCAATGAGTCAAAACTTAACTAGTCTAAAGGTGATGGTTTTCTGAGCCACAGTGCCCCTATAGGACAAAAGCGGAACTGCCCTATCTCCAGCCCAGGAGCATCTCATAATGAGACCCTGAAGGAATGCAGGACAAGAGACGCAGAGTGCTTGCCTAGCATGTATGAGGTCCTGGGTTTGGTCTCCAGCATTGCGAAAGTTAGGTGTGTGTGTGGGGGGGGGGACACACCTATAAGCCTAGCACCAGGGAAGATGGAGGCAGGAGAATAAGAAATTTAAAGTCATTCTCAGCTATCAGTGAATGGGCGACCAGCCTGGGTGACTTAAGACCCTAGCTTAAAAAAACAAAACAACAACAACAACAAAAACAGAAGAATGAAAGAAAATAACAAGAAGGACGGTGGATGGGGTTTGAGGGTCAGAGCTGAGATGAAAGTAGTCCTTGCCGGTGTCCCTGTGGGTGGCTAAGACAAAAAAAACTACTTAGCACTGTGCATATAGTAGACACTGGTGACGGAGAGAATGTGTCTGAGAGGGTGATGAAGCTATGACTGGGATCTAGAAATCAGGCTAGCACACTGGAAGAACAAGTGTGGTGTGGGGCAGAGGCAGAACAGGAGGTCTGGGCCGGGCTGTGCTGCTGTTGATGAGGCTCTCAATGGCTGCCGGCTTCTGCAGCCTCAGAAATAACAACAATTACTGTACACACCACAAGCTGTCCTCCAAGTCAGCAAATGCATCAGCTGCCGGTTATTTTGATACCCTGGATAAAAAGCTCTTTCGAGAAAAATCTAGTACATCAAAACATTCTTATTCTCTGCCTGTCGGCAACATGCCTTCTGGCCGCTGCCCTCTCGGCTGGTTTCCATTCCTATAAATGTAACTGGTTCAGACCTTAAGGTCCGCCTCTCGGTGACCCATGAGGAGACTTCTGTTGGAGTCCGTCAAAGTGGAAAAAGCAAAAAGAGAAGGCACCTGATGATGGTCGTTAGAATGAAGGCTGACCTATTATGAAAATTGCTGGCAACCAACACAGTGTGGTTGGATTTTCGACACCCACAAATGGATCTCAACATTTTTTTTTGATCCAACACACATAACAAGTCCCTATGCTGGGTCCTGGGGAGACTAACAGTGTGTTCAGGGTCTAATAATCAAGCCACCATGGGATCAACTGTGGCAGCAGGTGCCACAGCCATCTTCTGGTATGCAACACAGAGTAAGTCATTGCTTTTGTTGTTTACAGATTCTGGACCAAGACCCTTCAAATTCAGGGACACAAGCAGATCTAACCAGAGTTTGCCATGAGAATATATATGATCAACAATTTGAGGGCAGGACAGCTGGGCTTAGATTTTACTTTGTTTTAAAATTTCCCTCTTGAAAAAGAACAAGTACTTCAAATCCTTTTATGGTGTGTCAAGGGACACCACAAGGAAATATACAAAAGCCCCACATTTAATGACCAAACTGAGCAATTCTGTAATTTTTAATTTCACCCCTAAATTTCCAGGCAGTTGTTGTACGGAGCTGGTGCTTAAAAAGCAAAGTTATATGTGAAATGGTTGATGGATAAATGTATTGTATTGTTTGGAAGCTGTTGGTTGTTTGATCATCAATAGGAAGTTTCTAATAGACCACCATGACCACGACACCACTTCTGCTTTCTACCATTCTGGTGTCTCCTGGCTTCTCACCTTCACTCCTAAAATGTGCTGATCTCCTAGACCGTGTCTGGGCCACATAGAACATGCTTAGCAAAGTGAAAAAGCTCACTTCCAATGCCAGTCCTTTCTTCTTTCTTCATCTTTCCCAGAGTGTCTGCAAATGAAATGAAGGTGGATATGGGGACAAAGGCAAAGACAGAAAGGAGTCGAAATCCAGATGGTTGTAAATTCCTAGGCAGATCCTCTCCTCATCTAGGTATGCTCCAATGGGGATGAAGGAACCCTGTGCCTAACTACATCCCAGTTGCATGGAGCATGCTCCTTGCCTGGGCAGCACTGCCAAGGTGTCACCAGCAGTGGGGAGACTCAGTACTTCAGCCTCCCACTGTCATTCCCCTGCACCCATTCCCTCTTGTGGCATTCATGGAGCTGTAGGTGGGGTGGGGGCATGCAACATGCTTTTTTAAAGAAAGAAGAGCCTTTTCACAAGTTCAACCAGCAAAAGGTGTGTGTGTGTGTGTGTGTGTGTGTGTGTGTGTGTGTGTGTGTGTTAATTTCCAAAGACCTTTATTACAATTGCTCATGCGCATTTGGTGAAAAACCTGACTTTAGATATATTTCTGCCTTATTGATTTGGGGATGAGATGAGGTGGAAATATACCAGAAAAGGGGGAGGTTTAAGTCAGGCAGGACCCCCACCAGCTCTTGAATCTATCAGATCTAAGAAATTCTGGAGGGCCAGCTGGGAGACCCCCCCCCACCTTAAGTAAGTAGATAAAAGGGGTGAAAGGGAATTGGGTGGGGTCTGGGGTGGGACAGAGGGCTTGGTCTTCTCACTAACTCTTAAAATCTGATGAGAGCCACGAACCCCTGATCTAAATGAAATGTAGGCAGCACACACAGACACAATTCTCCCTACACTGTTGGAGGGCTTTGATCTTCCAGGAGGCTCCTGTAATCCCAGGTCTTAAGGCTGGCTGTGGAAGTGAGGTATCTAGACACCTAAGGCCCTCTTCACTTTGACCCCAGGCAGATACACCCCTGTCTGGGTATTCCAGTTAACTCTGCTTCTGCCTGGTTTCAGAGAACCCCCTCCCCATGCATTTGCCAACCCAGGGAACTTCCTGGGTGTTCCTTCAGCCCTCAAATTTGCAGGGAGAAGATTGCCTGGTCCTCTGGCCACCAAGGGAGGTCTTAAGTCAGCCCAGAAGGCTAGCAAGGCAGTGAGTGAGCCAGGGCAGAAGGTGAAGAGACTCTAAGTCGGTCAAGCAACTCATGCCCTGCTCAGCCTGCCTGCTCATTGGTGTGTGGGACCAACTACCCTGCCTGGTGCCCTAGAAACTCTCCCTCTGCCAAGGCGAACCCGATGTATTTTCATTTGACCTCAGAAGGTTTGAATCCTTCCCTGGCTGTCTTTTCTTGGCTAGGTCCCACCAGCCCTCCTGGAGCTATCCATCCCTTGTCACCAGGACCCCTGCAGTCTGGCACCTTGGGTACAGTCACAGCAGGTGCGGGGCTGGGGGTGGGGGTGGGGCCGGGAGGGAGGGGTGGGGTGGGTGGGGGGCAGGATTTGGAGAGGGTGTGACTCGAGCCAGGGAGGAGGGGCTAAATACATTCAAGAAGCCTGTTATAGCAGTTCTGTACTCCAGCACAGCAGAGAGCGCCGGGAGCCCGAGGGGAGCGCATCGGTGAGTCAGGCTGCACTGAGCCGAATCCAACAGGGGTGCAGCGCGGTGCGGCGGGCTGAGGTTGCTGGGCTCCTCGGGACGGTATGCGTGGATCTCTGTCTGGCGAGATCTTGTGGGTTGAAACGCAGCCCTGAAATAAGTGCCCGGAGTAGATGTAGGAACGCGAGTTCATGGGCAAGCAAGGGAGGCGAAGGGAGTGAGGGTCTTTCTAGTCGTGAAATTCGCTGTCCCAGGATATCTGGAAATCCCAAAGTCAACACTGGCGCCTGCAGAAATAGTACTGCCTTGCCTAAGCTCTCGGGCTAGAAGGGAACAGCGCTCAAGAGAGAGCCTGGAGAGAGGGATGCGCGTGCTGAGAGCGCGCTGGGGTGGCTGAGCAGTAGCCGGCGCAGCGGAGGGAGAGTGCTCAGCGCGCCGGCTGGGGAGTGCGCAGAGTCCCGAGAGTGCCACGCTGCCCCTGGGTAAGAGGACCTGCCGCCCAGGGCGCGCTAGACTCAATGCTTATCGCAGGGTTCAGAGTATAGGTTGTGGGTGCCAGGGGTTGATTCAGGGAGCTTGGGTTCCAAGTGCCGAGGTTCTGAGCACCAGAGCCCTCGGCGGGGCCTGCTGGGTATCTCAAGGCGTAGCCCCACTGCTTGGGTCACCCAGTACACTCAGCTGTCTGCTGCCAGGTGTGGCAGAGGCTGGCACCGGGCATGGGGAAGGGCAGCGGCCGCTCCTGGGTTCTGGCAGAGAAGCTGCAGCGGAGGGAGATAGAGGACTCTGGGGTCAGAGTGTTGCAACTTGAAGCCAACATAAACATGAGGTTTAGTTAGTTCGGTTGGATTACAATGTTCTTGTTTTCATAAAAACTTTCTGAGATTCTTAAGGAAGGTGTTTTTGGTTTGACCTTTTTCGTCAGGTTTACTTCAGAGATTTCAAGAAGCGCCTGCTTGCTAGGCTGGTTTTTCCAATTGTTCCAGGCTGAGAATTGTAGCAGTTTGAAGGATAATTTATGGGTGTTTCACGCATTCAAGTGTATTACAGCAAAGTCTTTTGGGTGCTGTGGGTATTAAGGGAAACTCAGTGCACGTTCTCAGCTGCAAACCAAGATACTGCTGTCCTGGGTGCTTCTGCCCCATCTGTCATGGGAGACCAGTGGAAACCTGGGGGGAGGGGGGGAGGCACTTGATGTATTGCCTGCTCTGCATCCATCCTCCTGACATACTCTCTCTGCCCATGCCAATTCACTGTCCCTGTAGTCGGGGCCAACTGAACCTTACCAGCTCATCTGGCATGGAGGGCCACGGTGAGCCCCCCCAACAACTTCTTCCCAGGGTCCCAAACTCCTGAAACTGTGTTATATCGGTCAGATAGGTCTGTACAGTTGGCCCCTGCCACCCTTCTGAAGTAACCGGTGTTACAGTCCCCAACCACATGAACCTTCTCTCTGCCGAGTCACGGGCCATATTAAGCCCAATGGGTTTCATCTGTTGATTAAGGCATGTGTCAGCCTGGTCATCTGAGTACTAATCATCATAGACAGTCTTCCCAGGGTTTGATAGGGGACAAGTATCTATAGGAGAGGATGGTCTGGGGGTTGAGGCCAGCACGGCTGGTACTGACATGCAGTAGACTTGAATGGCTCTTGTACTAGGCAGTTAAAGGAGGATGGTTTAATGATACATTCTCCTGTCCCTTCCCTATCATTTCCCCCAATATTTTAGGTAGGTGGAGAGAGAGAGGAGAGAGAGAGAGAGAGAGAGAGAGAGAGAAGCTTCCAAGGGAAGGTGATAAGAGGTAACACATATAGGAAGTCAGGGACTCTGGGGCATGGGGCACACGATTTGACAGAGCTATAGGAGTGACTCAGAGGGTTTTATAGCCAGCTGACATCACCATTATCCCTGGACAGCCATCCCAAGCAGCCCAGGCTCATCAGAAAGTCATTGGTTTAGGACAGTCACCCCTGCTGGTGACTCTCAATTGTTTACTTTGAACCTTTAGCAAGGAATGGGCTTTCACTTTCTCCTTTTATTCACCTCCCAACCCCCATGCCCTGAGGGCAGTGAGAGGAAGGGATGAGGCCTCATGCTCCATTCTCCTCCAGGGAGAACTCTGTGCCCAGACCAGAAAGGGGGCCCCAGCTGCCAACATCAGCAAGGAGACTAGGGCAGGGCAGGGCAGGGCTGGAGCCCCAGGGAAGTTTCTCATCGTTACTGAGATTCAGCTGATGAGAAAATCACACACTTCTAAAGGAGTACTGAGCCTGACAGCTGCTCACTTGTGGAGCACAGGGTCTCCGAGCTGCAGGGGAAACAGAGAATACAGCTACTGCTCTTCTTTGCTAGGAATGTAACCAAGCTGTGCCTAGACGCCACACAGCAGTAAGAGACTGAGCCAGAGTCCCGGCCATTTGCCTTCTCCTAATAAGAACACCCAGGCACCTCAGTATCCAGAGCAGGCCATCCACAGACAGGAAGTAGAAGGTTTGCTGAGAAGTCAGGTCATCTGAGAAGCATAAGACCCGTGTTTCCAGAAAGTGTCTCTTTTCTTTCTCTAACTGGCACTTTTCATATCTTATACACTGCTGCTCTCTCTAGTTCTCTCTCTCTCTCTCTCTCTCTCTCTCTCTCTCTCTCTCTCTCTCAAGCTTAGCCAGTTCTAAGATTAACCATGAGGGGCTTTGTGTTGTGTCATAGTGACGTCAGCCAGATAAATAAAGAGGAACCCAAACCCGTCCTAACCATTTCCTGCGATGTTTGCTTCTTGACAGTGGGGATATGGTTATGCTTATGATTCCTGATACCAAATTGTGAGATGTAGATAACTCTAAGACTAATGTTCAAAATAGAGAAATCGAGGCTTTGGAATCACTGGCCTTCCAACAGGGAGTGCATAACGTGGCAATGTTTCATTTTCAGCCAAGGGAATAGTCCTTCAGTCACAAGGTTTAGACAGTACTGGAAAAATGAGAATTCACTATAGAGGCTTGGGGCATAGTTGCTTGGGGCTATTGTGTTTTCTTTACTCTTCTGTGGACAATATAATGCTTTTTTGAGGAATTTATGTAGACTGTTGGCCTTAGACTGTAGGGAGAATCAAATTTAAAGATGGAGATCGGTTTCTTGGTTAATTTTTCCTGTATTTTGAGCAACCTTCCAATGGTAGTTTTTAAGTTGTAAGAAAGGGAAGGCAACAGTCTATGACTATGAGCAAGTCATTAACCTCATGAAATCTGAGTGATGTACTGCATGGTGCCACTTGTCAATGGAGCCATTGACACATCAGGGCCATTCTTGGTTAAGTGTAACCACTCTACACACACAGGAAGTTCAGTGTCCCTGCCTTACCTTCTAAATGTCAGAAGTCACGATGTCATCTGAGTTTGCCTCCATGTATAAATGGTGCTTACAGTTAAGAATGTAACTTGGGAATGGAAAAAAACCACGCCCTTCTGTTGAGGCTTCTATGATATCGTCATAGGATTGGGACTTCAGCAGCCCCAGTCATTGTCCTCTGAATAGCTGCGTATCAGACTTAGTGCCTCCATCAAAAGGAGCCTCAGTGTTATGACCCTGCCAGGTGTCACCCTCTGCTTTCTGTGACTGAAATTTCACTGAAAATGACCCAGAAGAAAAGCAGAAAGAGTGGAGGAAAGATAGGGATATCAGAACAGGGTATCTCCCCTGCCACCCATATGCTGTTGAAAGCACAGGCAGAGAGAGATCCCAACACTGAAGAAAATCTTTCCTTGTTAAAGAAGTTATACTTTGGCAGTAGGAGGTGCCCTTCCTAAAGCAGGAAGCCTTCTACTCTCAACCCTGACAACATGTAATTCAACGTGAGTACATGCTGATCACCTGCCCTGACAACTAGTAATACAATATGAGCACATGTTGATCGCCAATGAATAAAACTTGCCACGCTGTGAGGGCAAGGAGAATAAAAAATTGCCATCTGAAGAATAAGCTAGGGATGCTGCATGAAAGAGATGCTGCTAGAGGCACTGGTGACAATCTCAAATAGAACAGCTCACATTATCCTCACCTCTGCCCCAAGGTTTCAATTGGGGACAAAAACAAAGTAGAACCCCTTGTTTATTTATAGTTCAAATGGATAAGAAGAGCATTTCTGGGGGATATATTGGAACACAATTTTCCTACTTATCCAAAACTTAGTAGAAATAGAAGAGTAAATTAATGTGCTTAGATTTTTTAGTTGGTTCTTAATGAGATCAAATGGAAAAGAGAAGGACCGGTTGATGAAGCGCTTGCTGTGCGAGCATGAGGACCAAGCGTCAACTCTCCAGTGCCCATCTCAAAGCCAGGTGTGGTTACGTGAGCCTGAGTTCTAGCGCCACGGAGGCAGGACCAAGTGCATCCTTGGGACTTGCCGTGACTTAGTCTAGCCAGATGGGTGACCTCCAGGCTCGGTGAGACACCCTGTTTCAAAAAAGTAAGCTGTCCGTGAGGACTACCGAGAACTCAAGAACAACGGCAATAGGTTTTTCATCCTACTGCACGTACTGGCTTTGTGGGAGCCTAGGCAGTTTGGATGCTCACCTTACTAGACCTGGATGGAGGTGGGTGGTCCTTGGACTTCCCAGAGGGCAGGGAACCCTGATTGCTCTTTGGGCTGAGGAGGGAGCAGGACTTGATTGGGGGAGGGGGAGGGAAATGGGAAGCGGTGGCGGGGAAGAGACAGAAATCTTTAATAAATAAATAAATTTAAAAAAAAAGTAAGCTGAAGAGGGAAGAGGAAAACACTGCACATGCGTTTGCATGTGCGCGTGTGCTCACACGCTTGAACGCGCACACACACACACATACACACGGGGTGGTGGGGCATGGGCTATTTAAAGGACGACAAATGAGGCTAAGGCTAAGCTGATGATGACATCTGCCAGGTAGGACTAGCTACAATGCTTCCTGAGTTGCCCAAGAGTCTGGCAGACCTTTTGCACGTGCAGCAAGTCTTTTTATGGGTAGGGGTGTGAGTCAGAGGCAGACAGTCAGGAC